CATGAAATGAGCTTTTAATTAGTGTCAGCCATCAGTTGATTTCCTCTTTATTGAAGCAGTCTCTCCGGATACCTCTTTGTAGTTAATTGGATTAGAGAAGCACTCACAAATACACATACAAATCACTGTCAAAAGTTTGCAGCAGAAGCAAGTTTGTCAAACAAAAAGAAACTAGCAAATATTTGAAAAGACGGCACGCTTGACTGCCAGCAGTGTATTCAGTCAGCACCTTTGTTGCATCTTCGTTTAATTAATAAAGGGCCATTAAGCGCTCGTTAACAAAGGGGGATAATATACAGCCCCAGCTGGTGAGGGGAAGCGAATAAAATGAGAGAATGAGAAAGGAGAGAAGACCGATTGGTAGTTTTACAATATAAATGAGGATACAGAAAAAGCACAATCATGAAACTGTAAGAGCAGGAGTAGGCTAGCTGAAAAGACTGACTCTAACTCAGTAAGACACAGACAGGAGATGTTAGTCAAGCCTCAAGGTACTTCTCTGAAAGTTTAGCCTTGGGTAATCTGACAAAATCATCCATAATAAGATAAATATAGCATCACAGTGACCCTTATTTTTTTTCTTTACAGTTTGAATATGGCACCAGAATGTCTTTGTGTTGTGGCTTATATATGGTCACACTAGGCTTGGGAGCATAGATGGGAAATTACTTTAAATCTGGGCAATGCCACACACTAGGGCTTCTATTTTTAATAAATAATAAATTATAATCACCCTATTAATATTATGCAATAACTTTATAATGAATTTAATAAACAATATACTATAAATATACTATTCATCATATTAATTTCTTAATTATAAAACAACATAAATAATAAAATATAAAATGTCAATATTATTAAAAACCGTATATATTATATTATATTAATTCATTAATTAATTCATATTTTATATAATGAATAAACAGACTAATTAATAATGAATGAATAAAATATAGGCTATTATGTATACTTTCCAGCAACATACGCAGGTCAAACTGTGACATTTGGATTCTTTATTGTTCAAATGTCTATTCACTTAATTTGGTCAAAGCTAATCAAACTTGAAATATTTCACTTCATGTTCAGTGAGTAATAGCTTTCTATCTATCTATCTATCTATCTATCTATCTACCTATCTACCTATCTATCTATCATCAGGGCTTGAAAACAAATTTTTATTTTTTTTTAATTCAATCGGTTCACTCCGAGCAGAATCGATATTTTAACGTTTCTGTTCCTGCGTTCCTCTGTATTATTACGCTCCAAAACTGGTTCGAGAAGAAGAAATACCAGTTAATAATATAAATTTTCTTTGCCTATAATTGTCACGCTTTGCCTACTGTGCAGGAGATGAGGAGACGAAGGAGCGCGGAGACAAAGGAGAATTAACATCAAAGGACTTTATTTTTTCAAACAGGCAACATGGCGGATCAGGCAACAGACCCATGGCGGATCAGGCAGTTCGGGGCACCATGGCGGATCAGGCAGACTAGGGCTCCATGGCGGATCAGGCAGACTAGGGCTCCATGGCGGAGCAGGCAGACTAGGGTGCCATGGCGGATCAGACAGTTCAGGAGACCATGGCGGATCAGACAGTTCAGGATGAGGGCTGAGAACAGTCTTTTTCTCCTTAACCTCCTCCTTTGGTTAAGGGTGAACGGCGCGGCCGGCGGGCTTGAGAGCTGAGCGGCTAGCGGACTTGATAGAGGAATGGCCGGCGGGCTTGGGAATGCTGTGGCCGGCGGGCTTGACTTCGGAGCGTGCGGTGTATCCGGTTGCCATGACAACCTCACGCGCTTCCTGCAAATTCAGATTGTGAATTTGTAGATTTTCTATAGCAAAACTAAAATGTGTTTAAAAGTGCGACTGACCAAATCGTCCGGCTCGGTTTGCCCCCCCTCGAACTCGAAGACATCTCAAATTTGACAGTTTACCATCTGATCTCACTCGTGACTCGAGGCTACGTAGGACAGGACGAAACCATGCAGTGAATGAGGGGAGATAATTTTGCAGGAAATGCAGAAATAAGCCGTAATTTTGTTTTATTTGTAACTCTTTGGTAGATACATTTATAATTTCTATTACATTACTACTACTACTGTTACAACTAATAAAACAGATCTCTGGGGGCCCCAAAAGTGCGTGGGCCCTTAGAATCATCCTAACTTTACCCCCCTTAGCGGCGCCCCTGTGTGTGTGTGTGTGTGTGTGTGTGTGTGTATATATAGGAGATGGAAAGCTATTTACTCACTGAGCATGAACTATACATAAAGACAATATGGGTGTTTTCTTTTATCCAAGTTCTCTCCACTTAATATTCTACATAAAATAATTTACATATTGTAAAAGTTTTGACAGGAGGACAGCATGATTAAGTCACACAGATGATGAGCAAATAAATTAAATAATTGCAGTAACAGCAGAAAAACTTTATAAAACTACAACAACTTAAAACGAAAACAAAATTTTAGAACAAGGAATCAAGCATCTAGGTTTTGTAACTTTATCCTTCTTTTTCATCCTCCACCTTAAAACTCAACTCCTTGTTAAGGAGACAAAGAGAGTAATTTAAATAGATCTTAAAGTGCTGCAATTACAGAACTCCAGGCTGCAATTCTATAAGAGGGAAATGGATTTCTCTGCCCATCTGTGCTATATGGCCAAACCATGAGACCTGAATATAAAGCACTGACTAGATAACAAAATCAACCACCTGAGAGCACTTTCGGCCAACATTTTCCCTTCAGCTTTGTTGTAAAACATATCCATCGTTGTCTTTTATGGCTCGCCGCAATAATGCCACGCAGACTCCACGAAACGAGCCTCTGTGTATTTTTACAGTGACAGAAGGCAATCCTTTAGACGACAGTACCTCCTAAAGCTCAAGGACAGTGAGAGGTCAGGAAACTAGCAGACTTAGGCTATTTCTCAGGCAAGTTTTCAGGAAACTTCCACCTGACCTTGAGAAGTACTGAACGGTATTAAACTCACACAGAAGAGCTCTAGATGTCCATTTTAGACTCTACTGAACTGGCAGCACATAATGAGTGAATCGCCCAAGCGTCTGACAACCCAAATACAAGCGGCACGCCATCTACAAGCACATTGCTGGTTTATGAACTAATACATTTGTGGCTGTTACCACTAAACGACACAATAAATAACCAATATTCCTGAACGGATGACTTGACCTTACTGTCCAGGGAGAAAATTGCGCTTTTCACGAAGAGGCTGGCGATCAGTTTCACGCTAAACTCAAAAGACAGATTCCCAAAGTGGCAATTACCGTCTTGACATCCGTTCTGAGGGAAAAAAGTGACTGTAATTCTTTCAAAAGTCCAAGTGAACAATTACAAGGGTGTATAAAAGAAGATAGCTTTTTAAAATGCAGTTTACATAATGAGACCAGGATACAGACTAGCTTTCGAACCACTATGACAGCTAGCTGACTCAGTCAGCATCATCTTAAGGGTTTCCAGCTCATCTATATTTATACAAGAAAGCGGCACTAATTTCGGTCATTACATTTACTCTCTCAGACACACGCATTCGGTGACCTCTGAATTAAGAGCATATTCTAAAAAGACTCCAACTCCACAGTCTAATCCATCAACACACTTGTATTTGACACGGTGAAGGAAGAGCTTGAAATAAGCAATTATTGAACCATCTCCTCGATTTACACCCATCCGCATTTCACCTTCACTTATACTTGGTAGATACGTGCAGCACGCCATGGCATCGCTTGGTCAAAAATCAGCACTTTGCAGGCTGCGCAGGATGAATTTGGGATTCTCGTTGCAGATTCATTTGACTGCGAGGCTGAAGAGTGAGAAGTGAGGTACGTAAGGCAGAATGAAAAAGTGCAAGAAGACAAGGAGAAAGTGAGACAGAGGTCTGTTGCTCGAGGCATTTGATCCGGTCCGGGTGTCCTCTCGGATCGCCTGACAGATAATCCATTAAATGTTCCATCCCGCTGACAGGGATGGATTTCAGAAAACACCTGTGAACACACACTCACGCACAGTCTAATGCTGTAATTATTACTAGTCGTTTAAAAACACATTTTTCTTATGGTACTGGAATAATTGTGATGTTCAATCAAAAAATAAAAACAAATAAAGCAAAAGACCGAAGTGATTTTTTTTTTTTTTTTAGTTTTATTTTCAACATTCTTGACTCATTTTTAAATATACATTAACTTTGAAAATACATTCAAGATTACAAAAAGCTAATTACATTTATTGTGGACTTTTAAAACATCTTCATGACAGGCACAGTATAAAAACCATACCACTTTATGACTATTTAAAATGAATAAACTAAATGCAAGTGAATATACATTATGAAGATGTAATAGGGAAACTTTTTCAATATTGAATTGACTGGTCAACAACACACATTCATTAAGGCAGAAATATTGAAGACAAACAATACTTAATCTCTAGTTTTAAATTTTATACCCATAAAAAAGTCTCATCTCACTCTTCTAAACAAAACAAACCTTAATTCGGACTGGGACAGTGATATCATATGGAGATTAAGAAATCAATATCAGATTTGGGATGCATTTCACAGTTCAATCATATAAAAACGAGGCTATTCCACCATATGACACTTTCACCATATGTCATGGTTTCTATTGGGATTAATATGAAAATATAAATTCATACTTATGATCAATAAAGGAAACTTTCCATAAAAAGGCTTAGAGTAAGGCAATGAATATAACAGTTATTGATTGAGCTATAGAAGAGTTATTGATTGAGCTGCTTCCAGACAACAAAAAGGTTAACACGTTTCCCAAGACTGCCTCGCATTTAAGACCCTTTGAGAAGTTGGGGCTTGTGAAGAGGCTCTCAAATACAGCGTTGTCTCTGGAAAAACTGGACAAGATGCCCAGTGACTCTAGCAGGCTGGTACTGTGTGTAGCTGTGGTTCAGCAGGCAGATGAGAAAGGCATGTGTGTGTGAATGAAGTGTGTAAGGCTGTTTGTTTGTCACTGTGATTCTGGCCACAGCCCTAATGGTTTGTGTATACTGTAATAATGGTGTGTATGCATATATGCATTTATTTCTTGGGAATGGCGGCAACAGCTTTCTTGGCGGCATCATCGAGGTCGGTGGCAGAGGTGATGGGCAGCCCGCTCTCAGACAGGATACGCTTTGCCTCCTGAACATTAGTTCCTGAACATCAACACATAAAACAACAGCAAACACACTTTGGTTAATGGGAGTTTTTAAGCCTTCACTTTTATTCTGACACACATACCAGAGATGCATGATATACTCTAATGGCTATTTTCTTTTATTTATTGGCATGTGTTAATATTATAATGTCCACTGTTGGATATTTAACTGTGGACTCTCACTTCCCATAATAGTTAAAGCTTGAGTTTCACCATTGTGTCCACAATCATGTTTATTTTAGCTTAGACATCTGAAGTGTATTTTACTGTATGTTCATCGCAGGTTCACAAATAATAGTTGTAGTAAACTAAAACATTATTTATGCCTAATAATTTTTATCCGATCCAAAGACAAACTTAAATAATTTTTATAATACCAAACTTAAAATCAGCTGCTTATATCTAGGCACACACTATATGAAATAATATTAACAAATAAAAACTTTGTGTGTGTGTGAGATATTGTTTTAAGAAAAATGAAGTTTAGCTCTAAAATATCACCTACAACAAATTCAAAATATAAATATTATGATATAAATAAAAACAGAAATAAATAAAAATGAATATAATATAAATACTATAACAGAATAGAATACCAAAATATAATACCAAACCAATCATTAAAATAATTTGTTTTTTTAGACCCGCAGATTATAAAATAATACTACCGAATAAAAAACAGAGATTTTTTTCTTTTCAGAGTATTTTTTGTTTAGGTCCATAATATCATCCGTAACATTAAAAAAATCAAATAAAATGTTTGATATAATGCATTAATAATGCAGAATATGATGCAGAAATAATGCCGTTTGATTGAGATTAACTGGAATGCACAATGAAAAAACGTGATTTTTGAAAATCGTTAACATCGGAGTTATCTGTTTTTGCAAATGAACTCTTCAAATAATATTTACAGATAAAAATAGGTCTGTTTGGGTCTTCTATATATAAAATACAAAGAAATAATAAAACAAGTTAAATCTACAATAAAAAACAAGTTTAGATCTATATCATCACACAAAAGAATAACTAATATTATATAAAACAAAATAAAATATTGTATTATATAAAAATTAAAGGGTTCCGTATTCAACGTAATGATTATGTTCTGGGGTACTCTCCAAAATGGTGGAAGATGGTAACTCGGGGAGAAGAACTGCTGAATAAATTATGTTATTATTGTTTTCTTTGCGCACAAAAAGTATTCTCGTAGCTTTGTAAAATTAAGGTGAACCCCTGATGTCACACGGACTATTTTACCGATGTCCTTGCTACGTTTCTTGCTGTCTATGGAGGGTCAAAGAGCTCTCAGATTCCATCAAAAATATCTTAATTTGTGTTCCTAAGATGAACAAAGGTCTTACGGGTTTGGAATGACATGAGGGTGAGTAATTAATGACAGAATTTTCATTTTTGGGTGAACTATCCTTTTAAGCATAATTTAATAATGCTTATCATTATCCATCCTTACGACAAGGCCTAGGAAAGAATTCTGGCTAGAGTAAAAAATCAGAAAAAGTCATTGCTTTCTCAAAATGCTGTGAGTGGCAGGGCAGAGTTTGGGGAGTGTGTCTCTGCTGGTTTGAAGGAGCAGTAGTGTTGAAAATACTTTGGGATCGCTCCATTGGCTGAAAAGGACAGGAAATGTTCCATTGGCTGAATGGCAATGGGGTTGTTCGTTCCATTGGCTGGAAACGAGAGTGCTGCGTTCACAGGCCAGGGGGGACATGTTGGTGCCAGCTGCAGGCGTCCCGACTGAGCACGCACTGTATTATTTTGCTTGGGCCACCCTTGCGGTAACACAGTGACTCTGAATGTCACTGAATTCTGGCCCCCTGACACAGGGCTAGGGCCCGGGGCCAACACAATAAAACAAATCAGAAAACTACTCCACAGGGGTCAAAAGGACGAAGACAGATTGAGAAGAAAAGGCAGAAGGGCAAGAAGTACAGGGAATGGAAGTTGTGAGATGTAAGTGAAGGAATAACAGACACGTGAGATGTGTGTGACTGTTGAGTAGAGGTGAGCTGGTTTCACAGGTGAATGTGGATCTCTCACTCACAGAAAATGTGTCAAAAACAAGCCTATTAAAAAGATGGATTTCTGTTTTTTTTTTACTTTAATTTTTTTAATGTTATTTTTAAACTACTGAAGAAGGAATAGGAGCAAAATGTTTAATAATGATGTGCAAACTATAACAGTGCGCAGGACGTTTTCATTTGTTTTTACATTTTTTACATTTACTTTTAAAATAAAAGAAAAATAAAAACATTTTCCATTACATTTTCCCCCATTATATTCTATTACATGTTGCATTTATACTTAGTTTATTATATATTTAAATTATTTTATTACGTCAGCATCTTGAACTTAATTGCACTCTATTTTATATTTTAATCATTCATATATATTTTTTTCTAAACATATTTTTTGTTTTATTTAATAATCTATAACTATTTTTAATTTAATTTAATTTTTTTATCTAAAAACTTATTTAAATATACATGTTTATTTAACAATTATGTTTTATCTAATAATGTATTATTTTATTTTCATAAGCTTATATGATAATATTTTTTTACTCTTATATTATTATTATCAAACTTATTTTATTTTGCTTTATTAAGTTATTCAGACTAATTTAAACATTAACTATCATACATTTACAAAAATATATTTTTAATTTTATACATTATTTATACATTTAAATTTACATTATACAGTCTAAATTTTAGAGTGTCTAGGAAATAAAAGAAAAGGGGAATGAGATCAGAACATGATGCGAGTCAGGCTTGAACTTGCATCGCCCACATGAGCACCTCAGCACCATGGATCTACATGCAAGCTGCTAAGCCACGACTCCAAAGTGTTTACCTAAATGCATTATCCTGCATACTGGCCTGCATATAAATTTGAACATTATCAGATTGGATCTGCAATTCTACAAGTGCGAAAATATGTCTTTTAATGTGTCTGCACGGTATATCTGACTTATAGTAAATACATTTAGGCAACATACTTACATATAACTCAAAAATATCTCTATGCCAACGTACAAGTATCTGTATACACATGTTGTATACACAACGTGTTGTTGTTGTCCAGCAGTGTAATTATGATAATACTCGCTCTCTCAGGGGAGAGGATGTTCTAATCAATAGCAGTTTCATGAGGAATTCAATTACCAGCACCACTTAACTACTGATATTTCAGCGCTTTTGTCCACTCGCACAATAACTCATTTCTAACACGTCTCCCACATTTGGCAGCACAAAACAATCAATTGTATAATTTCATTAGCAGAGGATGAGGGCGAGCAGGGCTGTGTGCTGGGAGTATAGAATATCCGCCGTCCGCCGCTGCTTGACAATGCCGAGTCGTCTGAGGGCAACGAGAGCAAACTTCAACAAAAGCCATGAAAAATACTCATATATATACACACACACTTACAGGGTTTTTGGACTGCTCTGATAGGAGGCTCTTAGATGGCCCTGTGTGAGTCAAATCTCTTCATTTGTTATGTATGTGGTAATATCTCACACATATATTGATCTCAGCATCTAAGAGCTGACAGGCACGCAGATCTGTACTCACTCACTGCCACTAGGTGCTGCTAGAGACCAACTTAACACCAAAACCAAGCAGAATGATTCAGTATGAATTGGCCTATGTCTCTGAATAAAGCTTACTTTAGAGTATCTAATGTTTAAACATGCATACTCATTATGGAACTGACAGAATATGATTATGAATAAGTATGCACAGATAATAATAATTCGATGTTTCGAAAAGGAGTTCTATCAGAAAACTACTGACACGCGAGTTATTCTGCAGCATTATCTTGGCACAACCATTCAAAAGTATGTGGTCAGGCAGTTCAAGCAGTGCAAATGTTTTCAACACTGATAATAAGAAGAAATGTTTCTTGAGCATCAAATTTCTGAAGGATCACATGACACTCTGATAATAAGAAGAAATGTTTCTTGAGCAACAAAATTCCGAAGGATCACATGACACTGAAGACTGGAGTAATGATGCTGAAAATTCAGCGTTGATATCACAGGAATAAATTACGTTTTAAAATATATTCAAATAACAGTTAAATTGTAATAATATTTTACAATGTTACTGTTTTACTGTGTTTTAATCAAATAAATGCAGCTTTCAAAATAAATAAAAAATAAAAACAATAAATACATAAATATATAAACAAATAAAAATGTAATAATAAAAAAATCTTACCAAAAATGTTTGAACAGCAATCTACATAATTATCCACTAAAATACACAATATTGTGAAGACTAAATGCATCCAAACTCCTTTATATCTGCTCTGGCATGATTGGTATGAGGCCCTCTAAATATTTTTTTTGTCCTCTTTCTAGTCATATACACTTCACAAATCAGTGTACAAAATACTATTGCTGGTAACCAAAAAGGTGTTTTGGAACATCTAGTACCCAAGTGATCTAGTACTCGCAGCTCCATTTAACACATTTGACCATATTTAAATTCTTACTGAAGTATTTCACAGGCTCCGCCACTAAATTTGCACAGAAATGTAGCAGATTCAGATAACAGGATGCTAAAATAGAGAATAAAACCTTTTTTAATACCATTATTCCAAAGATATGATTTATCTTTGATTATTTTATAACTTTTAAATGAATATGACACTATTTTAGGATAGTGTCATACAGAAATCATAATTTTACATACTTTTCCCTTGCAACAGTAATTTTATGATATTTTTGGTACAATCAAGCAAATTTACACAATTTAAATTTATATCATATCATGTCTGATTACAATTTCAATACATCTTTATGCAGCTATGACATGTATATTTAAAAAAAGACGACAAAAAGAATTCCAATATTAATTAAAATACCTGCATTTTTAAGATTTAAATTTACCCAGTGTTTTTGAGTGAACAACTTTGTTGTACTTTTGGTCTGAACTGAGTCCAGCAGGTAGAAGAACAAAATCTTACAATAAACCCAAACAGGATCTTCTTTATGTGTTTTTGACAGTCTTAGGTATCTATATGAAGATGCTGATTGTGAAAAAGCTGGAAGAAGAGAGTATAGGTCCATACACACGCACACACTCATATGCATCTGAAGTCTTTCTTGGAAAGGAGAGACTTACGGAGAGGCTGGGTATTGAGAAATGGGTCTGAATCAATAGGCAGCTAATACACCTAAACTCTAAGCTGGGAAGCATCTTATAGCGATCTGTCAGACATGATCAGCCACAGACAGAGAGACAGAATAGACGATCGATCTGTAAGCAGCATGCTGCCTCTTACACCCATTACTGAGGGCTTTCAGGCCACTGTGTCTAATTCACTTTTCCAGAGAGGGCAGGCGAATCTGAGCCACTATTGCTTAAAGGCATTTTCATTTGGATGGAAAATGCTTTGTGAAAATGGTGTGTCAGTAATTACTTTTGCACTATGTATGATATAAAGGCTTTTAGCCATTTAATTTACAGGGCTAGTTCAAAATAAAAATTACTGAATAACTTTTAATATGTAAATTTAAATGCATTACAATTTTTTAATTGAATGAACATTATTAAAGGGATAGTTTACCCAAAAATGAAAATTCTGTTGTTAATTACTCACCCTCATGCCGTTCCGATCCAGTAAGACATTCATCATTCATCGTCATTTTCTGACCCTGCATAGACAGCAAGGGAACTACCACGTTCAAGACCCAGAAAGGTAGTAAGGACATTGTTAAAATAGTCCATGTGACATCAGTGGTTCAACCTCAATTTTATGACGCTACGAGAATACTTTTTGTGTGAAAAGAAAACGAAAATAACGAATTTATTCAGCAATTCTTCTTTTCCGTGACAGACTTCGACACACATTCACGAGAGTACATGACGCATGTGTGTGGTGCTGCTGACGCAGGAGCCGGCGTACTGATGTAGTAGAACCCGGATGCTCTGTGGCTTGTTTGCAAGCTTTGTAGCTTCATAAAACTGAGGTTGAACCACGGATGTCACAATGACTAACGATGTCCTTACTACCTTTTTGGGCCTTGAATGTGGTAGTTGCGTTGCTGTCTATGCAGGGTCAGAAAGCTCTTGGATTTCATCAAAAATATCTTAATTTGTGTTCTGAAGATGAACAAAGGTCTTAAAGGTTTGGAACGACATGAGGATGAGGGTACATTTTGACAGAAATATCATTTTTGGGTGAACTATCCCTTAACCCAGGGGTTCCCAAACTTTTCAGCCCACGACCCCCAAAATAACAGTGCCAGTACCTCGGCACCCCTACTTTCCTCTGAGGGTTTTAAAGTATACAAACGTTTTGCACTACGGCACACATGCACTTATAGCATAATGACAACACAAAGGAACACAACAGTCTAACAACAATAATATTATTTTATAGTAATTTACTCATTACTTACATTTCAACATTAATCTTACCTAATTAGTTGGGTGGGCAACATGCTGAAGTACAAAACTCCATGCTGGACTTATAATTTTTTATTTATGGGTAAAATATGCTATTTCTAATCCTTTAAAAATTATTTGATTTCTGGAAATCATCTTGCGACCCCCTGGGGGGGTCCCGACCCCTACTTTGGGAACCCCTGCCTTAACCATTTAAACTGTATTCAATGACGTACAGCAGTATTTGGCTCATTGCCAACATATTGGCCCACATGTGCATTTCCCCCTAAGGTGCAAATATTATCAGAAAATTAAATATGATGCGCATTTAATTGTGCAAAATATCTTCATGCTGCTCTTGTCCTATATTAAGGCTGTCCTCAGAAGGACAGGGTACAGCATGGACAAACGAGGGGCAGAAAACTAATGGAGTGGAGTATATGTCTCTCTCCGGGCAAAACGACTCAGCTGTTTTCTGACAATTATCCTAATGGCCAGATGGGAGCAGGCTGAGGCCCAGTGTCACACGAGCACGTAGCGTTAGCATACACAGGTGAGAGGTCCCGCAATCAACGCCTGGCCCCTCTGCTCCTCTCACTGCCACCAAACAAATGCTGCGCCGTGACACACTTGCTAACCAACACCAACAATCTCTACACTTGACAGGCACAGGGTTGCTTACAGGTAAAGGTTTTACAGAACACATTTTAAAAATAAGAAGTTAAACTGGAACCTTTTTTTTTTAAATTTTATTTTGCCATTTTCGCCTTTATTATGATTGGACAGATCAGCAAAGTGGGGGAGAGAGAGAGGGAAAGGTCCTGAAGTCGGGACTCGAACTCGGGACGCCCATAGCGTAACAGCACTGTATGTCGGCACTCTGCCCACAAGGCTATCGGTGCCAACATTAAACTGGAACCTTTGATTCAGAAATTGCATATTTTGATTTAATTGACATTATTTGGCCACACCTACCCTCGAGCCTAACCACCAGGGGAACCTTGAGCTCCAGTTCTCTGCAGGCCTTGGTGATGCCGTTAGCAATGATGGCACAGTTAACAATCCCCCCAAAGATGTTTACCAAGATGGCCTCAACCTGAATGCAGAAAAAGAAGAAAAACTGGGTGAAAAAAGCTTTATTTAGATAAAAACATGACACTGCATTAGCAAATGCAATCTTTAAGAAGATAAAAAGGCAAGAAAGCAAAGCCTTCAGGGTTCTCACAAAATAATTGTTTTTGAATTATTAAGATGGTAACACTTTAGTATAGGGAACAATTCTCACTATTAACTAGTTGTTTATTAGCATGCCTATCATTAAACATATTGGCTGTTAATTAGTACTTATAAAGCATATATTCTGCATGAACATATTCTACATCCCTAATCCTTAACAGTTTAACAACTACCTTACTACTATTATTAGTTTATTGAGGCAAAAGTCGTAATTAATGGTTTATTAATAGTGACTGGACATTGAAATAAAGTGTGACCATTAAAATCAATCAATTTCAAAGCAATTAAACATTTTAGAGTTGAGGATAACTGGAAAAGTTCATATTCATGATGGACGATCATGAAAATGTCTATTATTTGTAACATTGTATAACAGTTCTAATATTTGCAGGCTTTCCATGACTGGAGAAAACCCTGAACCTCACATGAAAAAAGACCAGCTGCCAAATAGGCTATTAGCATTAGCATGCTAAAAACCTTCATGGGGCTGGAAAAGAGATTTGAGGTGCTTAAGTCCTGAAATGAGCAGCCCACCTGAGGAGAAGCTAGATATTTGAGCCTAGCGCGGTACAATGCTATATATTGACCATAATTCCTCAAAAGGGGAAAAAAAAGAAGCAGATTATACTTCACACAATCCAACGGTCATTTACATAAATGTATAGCAGCAATCAAAGGGACATTAATGTGTGCAAACACGCACACACACACAGAATTGTTAACAGCTCATGAATGTGTTACTCTTACAAGGTAAGAATTTAAATTACTCAATGTCAATTTATTTCTGTCAAATTAGCAAATCAACAGATCAGATTAATTTGGCATGTTTACTCATAATCTATATTAATCTGTGGCAGTGACTGCTGGCTGCATTCGGTGGTAATGATGTTTACATGGTTAGAGAGGAAATCAGAGGATCAGAGATATTGGCAGTTTCACCCACAAATGCTGTTACTCGCCTTACCGGCTACACTGTAAAAAATGTTCACCCCTTTCAACTTAAAAACGTAAGTTTTGTGGCTGCCTTAAAATGTGAAGTTAAATCAACTTAAAAGTACAAGTCATTTCAACTCACTAATTAAAATCTTGCCTAGTGCTAAAAAATATACTACAACATTTGTTTGAAACATTTAAAATTTATTTTTTTCTTGCAGTGCTTATAAACAGGGTTTTACTATTGAGAACAGTACACAACCTGCCTGTGCATGCTAACGTGTGAATGCCAGTATATGTATACAACAAGGGCACAAAAGTAGCAAAAAACTGCCAAGAAACTGTCATACAAAGCTGAAAATAAACTCACACCTCATGGGAAACAACCACTGAGAAAAGCATGAAAAAAACACACATACATGTCCATTACAGTCCTTTTTTTTCTTGCATCTTAACGATGTTTAACAGGTGGAGAAACAAATATGTGTCAAATCTCAAACGTTACATTACAATCTGCAGTGCTAATGCAGCACAGCACAGCGGCCACCGTATCAGAAATACAAAACTTGAAAGGTAAACACAGTTCGGAAAACAATGACAGAACATAACTAATTCTGCTCTATTCTGCTAAAATGAACAATAATCTCCCAAAAATGATGTTACACAAGCATTCACTCACCTCATCCACGTTGAATATGCTTCTTCGCGCAGCCCAACGGACAGCTTCCTCAAGTTCATGAGTTGTTTGTCTGAAATTCCTGCGCGGTTTAGTTAGTTCGCTGTATAGTCTGCCCGTGTCTCCTTGTTTGATGTTGCACTGCGATGTCTCGTGTTTCAAACATGAGTCTAATGTCTAGATTTGCAGAATTTTTTTTTTCTTGGAAAGGACTCTGATATTAAATTAATGTACAAATTTGACTCCTGCGCATGAATCCATGTTCAGAGGTTTGGCCGGTTAGTGCCAATTAGCTACAACTTAAAATGTTAAGTTCACTGAACTAAATTGGGCTCTTTGAATTTCAGTAACATTAAACTGACTTAAAAAATTAAGTTGAATCTAGTATAACTTATAAAAAAAAGTTGAAATTGCTTAAATTACTTTTATGAGTTAAAGTAACTTAAAATCATAAGCTGTCATGGCTTTTTCATCATATCATTTTTTACAGTGTAGAAACTAGAGCTCCCTATTTTGTGGATATGTGTAGTGTGAACATGAGTTCAGACACTAGCAAGGTTTTCTAAACACTGGGATTTTGAGAACTCAATTATCTGTTACATGATTAAGAGGTCACACATTACGTGTAGCTTGTTCTTTGTAATTGCATTTTCGTTGTAGCCATTTAAAAAGCACGGTGACATTACCAAGTTTGTTTATAACAACAACAACAACAATAATAATATTTTACTGACTTTTTTTGTTTAATGCAGAATAGACCGTTTAAAATGGCATAATTGCTTTCTATTTATCTATTTTATATATTATTATTATTAATTATTATTAATTATTTAATATTGATTCTACACATTTAAATACTCAGTTAATAATCATGATTTGTTTTGTCTAAAAAATGGAATAAGTGTTTTTTTCATAATTTACATTTCTGTTTATTATTATTATTAATTTTCGAAGTAACAACAACAACAACAATAATACATTTACAAACAAGTTTTGTTTAATGCAGGATAAACACCTAGGTTCATAATGAAATAATTGCTTTTTTTCACTATTTATTTGATAAATTATAGATAATAATAATAATATGTATTATTAAATATTAATCATTATTAAATCCATTATTAATTATTATTAATGATTATTATTATTTACAAGCTTCAACAGCAACCAATAATATCCAATAATAATAATAATAATAATAATACTTATTATTATTATTATTATGGCTATTATTGGTGATGATAATATTATAAATATACATACACATACAAAAAAACAAAAACGAAAAACACTAATTTGACAATGATACATAAATACAAAAAAATTGGTTTTGATGCCTTCGTAAACAACATTTTCAATAAATAAATATAGCGAGTAGCTGATGCTCACTAGTTTTTATAGAGTATTCTGGAAATTTGTAGGCAGTTTCAGTGCAATGCAACCATCTTGACAGCCCTCACAATGGCTGACTCCCTAGACAGTGCACTTACTACTGACTAAGACACACCCAGACACACATAGAGAGAAAAAGAAAATCCATATACGATTTTTACATAAAAAGGGGAAAAGAATCAAAGATAAATCCACAGGCTGCCACACAATAGAGGTGAAAAGACTGAGACAGAAATAGATACAGGCCGAGACCCATGCACAGAGAGGCAAGACAATGCCTCCACCAACAGGTACATCCCCACCTGGCTGAGCTGCCAGATGGCAAATCCACATCTTTACATCCCGAGATATCGCGGACAGCTAGTGTTTCATTGTCAACTTGTGATATAAATAAATCCACACCAAAACAAATGAAGCAAAACACGTCTAGCTGTGGTGTTGCTGATAGACTATAGGGTGCCCAATGCCAGAGTTTCCAGCATGTGACCCTGAAACAGCACACGGCAGATGAGTGTGGGTTAGTGTTTCTGTTAGTGGATCTGACAGACTGGATGGAGACAGAAAAGGGAAACTGTCTGTAATGTCCAGCTGCTGATGCTGGAACTGGCAGGCATTTGCCATGACTGCAGAATGTCTACATCTGCTGCGTCTTCCCCATCAATGGTAACGTCTGAGCTACTGCAGTTTACACATTAATGCACAACTCCAGCAAGATACAGACAGGAAAAAGCATGATAAGTAGAGACACAGTCACAGCTCAGCCAAAAGGGAGTAAAACTTGACCCAGACCTTTCAATTCAGAGCTCTGCTCAAACTGAGAAGCCTATCGTCACAAACACAACCACACCGAAGCATGTCACACAGACTAAAACTAGCTCAGAATTAAAATCAACAGGTTTAAAATGTCTGAGACCAAATATGTATTCAATATATTTTTTTCTCCATTATAAATTATATTATCAGCACATCAAATTAGTGAAAAGTTGATAATAAAATGAAATAATTCAAATGAACTATTTATTATATTCGATTTTCAATCCCAGAATTTCAAGGTGGCCTTAGACTTTTGGGTCCCAATACACCTAAAATAGCTGACTGAAATACAGGTGAATAATTAATAATAATTAATTAAAGATCAAGGTAACAATAACATTTTAAAATATAAAATAAAAATGTGAAAAAAAGTGATGCAATTTGTAATTGACATTATTAAAATGAATGTGAATAAAAACACATTTTATGCATGATTAAAATGTAAATAATTAGGATATATATGATTTTTCCTACGGTTTTAATTCTGGTATGAAAAAAAAAAAAGATTTGTGATGTAATTTCCTGTCACATTTAAGACTCACAAAAAATGGAATATATTTTATTGAAATACAGGAAATTAAAGTAAGATCTAAGGTGAACAATGTTATTAACACACACACACACACACACACACACACACACACACACACACTGTGTATATATACAGTATATATAAAGATAAAATAATATGGAAAAAAAAAATGTTGATGTCATTTTCTATCACATTCGGGTCTTATAATTGGGGTATATTTTATTGAAATACAAGAAATTAAAGAAAAATGTCAGGTGATTATAATGTTATAGTATAAATAAAAAAATGATAAAATATTTGATTGAAATACAAGCATATACAATTAAACCTGATTTGTGATGTCATTTCCTGCCACATTTGAGTCACATAAGCTCTTTGCTGTTCCCAGCGGCTTTAGGTTTGCTCTGCTCCTCAGGTTTCCCCATACACTCCTTCCACTGACACTAGAGGGCAACACAGATCCAGGAGCAACAGCACAAAGCCTCATTCTCCACACAATAGTGTCTTCAGCAGC